AATTTCCCAGTTTGTCATATTTTTCTAAGAACTCTCTGTTGATATATAAAATTATACAAAATTATATATCGTTTTATATATATATATATATATATATTTATATATATATATATATATTTATATATATATATATATATATATTTATTTATATATATATATATATATATATATATATATATATATATATATATATATATATATATATATATGAAGAAATATACTCTTAAAGGTGTGCTATATTTATGAGACAGAGCGTGTGTAAATATAAAAGTGAACATTCAAGTCAACACTTAGATGCGACAGGCTGTTTCATGTTAGATGCAATCCTCAGTATATATATATATATGAAGAAATTTTGAAAAACAAACAAAAATCCTTAAATGTAGTTAAATGAAAGAAATGTCGACGTCTGACGTTTCGGTTTATTAAACCTTTTCAAGACAATATTCATCAAAATACAATTCAGTTCAATATGACAAATACGATGGACATAAAAAACACAAGTCTTATTCAGAACAGATAACTGAAATTTTTAAAATGATCAGCCTTCCGTCTAACATGGTCACGCTGTCGTCACATGGGCGACGCTTTCATAACAATATTCCTAAAAGTTTGTGATTATTTTGAAATGAAAAAGAAAAAGAAAATGAAAATAATCACAAACTTTTAGGAATACGTTATGAAAGCGTCGCCCATTTTAGGATCCACAATGATGTCCACTCAATAGTCCCACGAATAATTTGAAATATAATCTTTACCGTACACATAATAAACATTAGAATAATAGAATAGAACTACCCATAATCAACCATCATATATAAATAGTCGAACCAAAACACAAAGCACATGCCCTGAAGATTTCGTTTTACCATAAAACAGACTGTCCTCGCTGGTTGATGACCTCAAGGCCCACTTTATATTTGCATATGCATTATTACTGATATTGAATATTTTAACTCATATATATATATATATATATATATATATATATATATATATATATATATATATTTATATTTTATATATATAGAATACTATAGAACTATATTTTTATCACATTATATATGTATGTGTGTGTAAGTATGTGTGTGTTTGTGTGTGTGTGTCTAGCGTGTTGCTGCGATTTGAAATGAATTCCAAAGACAATATTTAGATATTTATACATAGATATATTCAACAGCATATGTGTTATTTTGTTTCATTACTTCTCGCTATATTTGAGTCAGTTTCATGACTCCCCTTTCCCATCACTTTATATCTTTTCTCTTCTAAGTGGTTTGACATGCTTTCAGAAAATTGAAGTTCTTCCCATTAAGAGAATTTTGTAGGGATTGAAATAAGTGGTTAACCCGAACATTCAAGGTCGAAAGTGAAGTACGGCGGGCGGCTGGGACACTACGCCCCATCGAATTTGCAAGGAGACGCAAGGTCTGCCGTTGTGTTAATGTAAGATAACCCACTTCCGATTTAGCCTACCGGAAGTGTGTTCGTTTTCCGTCATTGGTTCACTGCGCTTCTCGTCAATTGTTGTCCCAATCGGGAACAGTACTTGTTCGAATTCGGGGAAGGAGCTTCTAATTCACAACGCCCTTCCCCAGACTTTGGGTGTGGTTAACTATGGCTCCCTTATTCTTCTTAGAGATGGTAATGTGACCCATTAATTTAATCGCGACATACCAAAACATTATAGAAATGAGCGTATCAAAGTATTTTCAAGTACCCTACAAGCCTCATATTTAATTAGCATTTTGATTTGGTTATCATCAATGACTGAAGGCCTTCTGGTCTTTCAGATCCAATTTCTCACTACTAAACCTAGCCAACGACTTATAAATGGTACTATAAGGTATGACGCAATAAAAGGTACCTTTAGTTGTTTGTGCAGCTCATTTTCCTTTTCTGAAATAAATTTTTACTTTTAGCATAAAGGATTTAGAATTCGTAACCTGCTTATGGAAAGAAGCGATGAAATGTCACTTTACATATGTATATATGTTATAAATTTCAACCACGTGTTAAATGAAATCACCCTGTAAATACGCTCCAAACTTTCGTTCCAAACCAAATATATATCTATATATATATATATATATATATATATATATATATATATATATATATATATTATCAAGTTTGCCCCCCTCCATAGCTTGCCTAGACATTTCGGGTAACTTCATGTATATTAATGAGCGTTGTTAAATTAAACAATTCTGAAAAAAAAATTACATTTTTGCTCTTGTATATAAATATTTATTTAAAAACAAAATGCTTGCATTTGGCTTGATAAAGTCCCTCAGAAAACGAAACGCATCGACTAAGATAAGTTTTCATTTTTCTCTTTATTCTCATGTTATGATTTTCGAATAAATAATTATACTTGTTCTACTCTGTCTTGTGCAGTCTTTTTAAGAATTTATTTGTTGGTTATTGGAATTTATTCCGTATATACCAATCCTATATATATATATATATATATATATATATATATATATATATATATATATACAGATATATATATAATATACATATATATATATATATATATATATACTATAGATATATATATATATAAAGAAATATAGTCTTAAGATGTGCTATATTCATGGGTGGCCTGACGAATGCATCTAGCATGAAACAGACTGCTGCCTCTAAGTGTTGACTTCTATGTTCCCTTTTATATATATATATATATATATATATATATATATATATATACATACATATATGTATGTATATATATATATAATATACATACATACATACATACATTTGAATAGCTGGGGATTATAGCTCTCAGGGAAACTGGAATAGGGAAAAGAGTTCCACAGGCGAGAGGTGCGAGACATGAAGCTATTGGAGTAGAAGAGACGGCTACATTTAGGAGTTTCGAGAGCGGGATGCCAGCCTCGTAGGGCGCTAGAACTCATGAAGTCTGGGAACCAGCGAATGTAGCTCCTCGGAGCAATTACCATGAAAGTATTTGTAAAACAGACAGAGAGAGGCGACGGCGCGTCTGTGAGAGAGTGACTATAGACGAGATGCCAGATCAGGGCCAATTATATTACATATCCGTCTCTGGATCTTGTCAAGAACTCCGAGGTAAACAGAAGATGCCCCAGACCATATATGGCAGCAATACTCCATGCAAGGGCGAATTGTTGATCTGTAGATCTGGAGAATCGATTCCGGGGAGAAAAATTTCCTGATGCGGCACAGGGAGCCAACTTTCCTTGCGGTGGACGAAGCAATTGACTCAATGTATTTGTTCCATCTCAGGTCAGCAGTATATATATATGTATATTAAATAAAACAAACAGGAATTGTATTATGAACCACTTGGTGAGTGTTTCCTACGAATATTTTTTTTACATTCCAGGCGCGCTCATGTGTTAAAATGTTATAATTTTTTTCCACCTGACACTAAATTCTTTTGCAGGTCCTAACTCGTGCGATCGCGTTCTTTCAAAATATTAAAGGGCTAATAATTGCTACCTTGCATATCTTCTGACTTTATATCCTTGAAAACGACCGGGTTGGTCGAAAGTAGTCGAAACATAATATACCATTGAGGTCTCCTAATCTGTGGTATGATCATGTTCTTCCAAATTGATCCAAATCGAGCATTTATGGGACGTAGTGAAGATGTCTATTCCCAAGAAGTATCCTATATCTACAAATATCACGGAGCTGTAGACATCTATCGAGGCAGCAACATTCAATATCTCTTCAGAAGACCAAGTGTGGAATCGATGACACATCGTTGCTGCATTTCACTGAGTTCGAGTTGGGGTGGCACGATGCTAAATATCTACCCATAAACTTTGACACAAACATTCCAGAATTATTCAAAATGATACCAAAAACGTTTCTCTTCGTCGATATATCCATATTTTATTCTCTGTTCCGATTACAGTAAAACGACTATCCATGAAATATTTAAACAACAGTTAAATATAGCCAGTTTTTATTACTGATTAAAATTTTGGGATAAACTTAAGATTGAACATTTTTGCTACCATCCTGAACTTTGTTGTTTTTCTTTCAATGAATCTATTCTCCGACCATCTTCAAGTCATATTTCTGAACAGGTTTTGCTTATTACTATGGCTCTTAAGTTTTTCATCTTACTTTTATTTCCACTCACAAAATCTCATCACCAGAATTTCCTTACCATTTTTAATTCCTAAATGCGCAGCATATCTGCATATTTGAATTCTGCTGACTCTTTATTAACTTTATACACTAGGTGCAAATACCCTTGAAAAAGCTATGAATCCACCTAGTCTCTTCTCAACTATGGGTTAAATAGTAAGACTTATATCAGAAAATCATTATTATCCCCCCCCCCGCGCAAAAAAAAAAGACTCTTAAAATCCCAGAATATATTTTGACTTTAAATAACGTTAAAAATGTTGATAAGCCGTAAAAAAATCAATCAATCAATCTATCTGCATTAACCTCATTAGCATTCCGGAATATATGCTTTGATACTTAAAATTAATCCTTCTTATAGCTTACTTCTAATTTCGTGGCCCTAGCCTTTTGTGAAATTAATCGGTTTAGTCATTTATTTTCTTAAATTTTTTTTAATGGTGACGGGTGTAGTTTATCGTCATACCCAGGACTGAACTTGGCTGCTCGGTCAATGAATGTTGAATGTTTCTTAATAAGTAAGCGGCTAATTTTGCCATTATTATTTCAATGACTAAAAGAGAATGTTCCCTAGAAGTAAGCGTAAAGAAATTGCCCCGTCAAGGAGAATTGGACAACTGATTGTCTTAGAAGAATTTCAGAAAAGAGATTTCGGACATAAGAGTTTAAACTGTTTGAACATGAAATATAAACAAAAACGTTTCTTAAAATTTAAGAATCCTTACAATTTAAGATTTGGAAAAGTACAATCTGAAAATAAAAACTACGAACCACCGACCCACTGCTACTAAATTAGAACTATGTCTTATTTTGGCATTATGGTTCGAAGACCAAACGTGAATTCACACCTGTCTCCTGGCTTTAAGAATTTCTGTACTGTGTGCCTTGGCAGCACCTTTGAGGACACTTTGACGAGAACGTTGATGCGACGATCGGCTAACCCCCGAGTGAACTGATACACTCGAATTGAGGCAGATCCTTTTGGCGTCTGAATCTTCGCTGACTGTCTGGCTTGAACTCCTGAAAAAAGAAAAAATCAATTGATTTTATTTCAAATATTTGAGTCTTTCAAATTCGAAAATAAGCCTGACATTCTTCAAAATATCTTTTATTATTTTGGTAGGAATGAATGCCAATCGTATTATGAAATTAAGTTTAAATTAAATATTAGAGTAATTGAGTGTGGAAAAATGTTATTTTGAAGTTGACGAAATGTTTTATTATATGAAGCGTTTCGTCCTTCGAAACGAGTTACATAGGATTTAAAATTTTGTCATTCAATTACCCACCATATGCTTGATATCTCTGTTTTATACATGATATTATAAGAAGACAGAAGGAGATATGTAAGTATATATATATATATATATATATATATATATATATATATATATATATATATATATAATGAAGATGTATATACACAGATAGAGACAGTTGTGAATACACTGAAATAGATATGGAGACACTAAAATAGAAAGCTAGACAGACAAATAAATAGAGACATGAACTAAGACATATATATATATATATATATATATATATATATATATATATATATATATATATATATATATACATTACACATCAGAGAAATCAGAAAATGCCTCATGAGGTAATTTATTTTGGATTTCACTGTTATGTAATTTATATGTTCTGTTATAATAAATACATTGAGCTTTCTTTGTAAATCAGTTTTAATATTTTATACTATTAGGGCCTACTTGGATTATATAGCAAGTGATTTTTTATCTGTACTATCTATCTATCTATCTATCTATCTATCTATCTATAGATAGAGAGATAGATACATACATACAAACAAACAAACAAACAAATTTTTAAGTAAATAATCTATTTATAATAAATAGTATTAATAACATTTATCGGCCCGAATATCCGAGAAATTTCACAGAAAATATGTGTCCTCTGTAGCTAAACTGGTATTGCTCGTCAGGCTATATGACGATTCCGTGTTAGATACAGGTTCAATTCCTGTCGGAGGACACATATTTTCTATGAAATTTTTCGGATATTCAGGCCGGTAAATGTCGTAAATACTGTTTATTATAAAGCATTATTAGCATTTACTTATACACACACACACACATATATATATATATATATATATATATATATAGGGGATGCATTTATGTATATATCCAGGTATAGGGGCAAATGAAGTATAATTCTACTAATTATATATATATATACATACATATATATATATATATATATATATATATATATATATATATATATATATATAGAGAGAGAGAGAGAGAGAGATAGATAGATAGATAGATAGATAGATAGATAGATAGATAGAAATTGACAGCCGTATTGACTGGCAGGGCCTTAATACATCTAAATAAATGCCCAATTAACAGTGGACGGCCACAACTAAAAGTTTCAAGCATCTTCAGGAAATCTACAGGCAGTCAGCAACTGTTATTTGCGATGATGGGCATTTCAATACTCCCCTGGCAAGTTCAAGATGTTAGAATGGTTGTTGATGTGTACCTACCCATGCGCACACACCAACCGAATTCACGATGCCTTACCCATTAGGTGATGTCATGCTGCGCAGTTGTTTGGAGCTGAGCCACAGAACATGGATGACGAACGAATAGCAAATGACCATTATGATTGTGGGGGCCACAAACATCACCGTCAACTGATAGATGGCATAGGCGAGACGTTTATCATCCGGAATGGCGCTGTCATAACAGTGAGATATCGTGGCAGACGTAACATTATTATAGTATGTCACGGACTCGATATCCTGCAAAGAAAAAAACAACAACAAAACACCAGTTAATTGGACTGTAATAACTCACCAAACGATATATAAGAAAACAAAAAACGTACTGCAAGATTGCAATACTCCTTTTTGTACAAGATTACAATACTCCTTTTTGTACAAGATTACAATACTCCTTTTTGTACAAGATTACAATACTCCTTTTTGTACAAGATTGCAATACTCCTTTTTGTACAAGATTGCAATACTCCTTTTTGTACAAGATTACAATACTCCTTTTTGTACAAGATTACAATACTCCTTTTTGTACAAGATTGCAATACTCCTTTTTGTACAAGATTGCAATACTCCTTTTTGTACAAGATTGCAATACTTCTTTTTGTACAAGATTACAATCTTGTAAAGAAAGGAGAAAAAAAGAATCTGTATAGTTTGTTGAGGAAGCATGACTTGGGTTGAAGAGCTGAGTTCAAATTCCAGTCGAATCCATTACATTCACTTACGTGCTAATACCCTTGAATTCTCCCCCAGCTGGGGTTCTATAGTCTTGGATGGCAACTGATCTACCGCAGAAAGAATTGGTAACCTACCGTGGAAAAAAAATCTGCCTCGTCAATTGTATCGAAAGATACATGATCGCCTAGGCATGTTTCACGCATGGCACATAACTGAACTAATAATTTTTTTGAGGGAATAGCTGATGCCATGTCAACCAAAGTTGTTGTGTATCGAATTGAAAATTATTGGAGGTGATATCGAACTGTATTGGTACTTCTTACTTCTTAGAGTCGAGATATTGCGGAGTGTCGAAAGTTTGGCGACAATAAGTAATTCTTGCTTATTTGGACTGTTATCCTCATCATTATTATCATATGCACGACGTTTCAGTCGTTATACACTCCGACTTTCTTCAGGATCTGTTTATTTTTCTGAGATGAAGTATTTTACATCTTTCGGACCGTTGGCCTCACCTTTATTGCCATATACTCAACGTTTCCTCTGCTGTGGACGAGTATTGAACTCACAACTTTCACTTTTAGGATCGCTCAACTGAACCAACGCTTTTATCTACTGGCCACAGAAGAGTGAACAAAAACTTGGAGAGTTTTGTTACTAAAGGAAAATAAACTGAGATATCCAGAAAAGGCATGGGGGGGGGTAGATTATTCTAATTCCACCCAGAATCACCTGAAGAAGGTCGGAACGTACAACGGCCGAAACGTCGTGAATATGGCAATAAAGATGAGGACAACAGTCCGAACAATGTAAACAGTGTAAATATGTCTTTGTTGTCGATTAGTCCCTAGTTTATACTACAAAGATACCGGGTCCGCTCAGAAAGCACTCCTAAAGAAAATACTGTAAACGAAAAAACAATTGAACTGTGGATGTGAACCAGTTTCTTTTTATCTTTTAATGAAATATTAAATTGACATGATTTACCGAAAAATATTTACTCGTTATTGACTAGTTGTTGATCACTTACCCTCAAAACATGAAAGAATACAGACACGAAAAGCTCAAGAGAGAGGGGGAGGGGGAGAGAGAGGGGGAGGGGGAGAGGGTGGAGAGGTGGGGCTGACCAGATTTTGTAGTGTTTGTGCGTTCACTAAAAGTTTAAATGGCCGTTTAATGTATTTCTGGGACTGTTATATCTTTTCCCCTGGCCGTGGGAATCTTTTTTCTCATTTCCTGAGACTGTGGCACCAATATTTTAGAGAGGTGCCAAATTCTTCATTTTTTTTAAAAATGAGAATAACAAATAATAGTAATCTATACGGATATTTATTAAACATCAAAATAGTTTCCTTCCTTTAAAATAAATTTACACCAACATTCTAAGAGTTTGTTAATTCCACGTTAATAACTTAAGTCATTCATTGATTGAGTTATTTGTTTACGTTTTCTCAGTTCTATCGATTAGTTAAAGCTGATAAATATTTTGGATTTTATAATCAGTTTTTTAGCGGGTGAATGTTGCATTAACAATTTTTTTTTTAGATAAGAATTATCTCTGACTAGCAGCATGGCCCGGCGTTGCCCGTGCTTGAATAAAAATAGTACGACCAATACAGCAATAGCTATCACTTAACTTAAAATATTTTTGCCCTTCCTTGCCTTTAGAGGAGTGCCTTTTGCCGTGCTGATGTTGTTACATGCCTTACTTCTTGCCTATCTCACACTGCCAACTTTTTCTAAGCTCTATAGTAAACATTAAATCTGTTACGAAAAAAGAACCAAACAAAATAAACACAATACGACCAGCTTTAAAAAACCGGAAAAAAACATTTTTAAGGGTTGACCGATTGTCGATTTTCGCTCTGTTTGGGGGGGGTGCTCAGAGTTGAAACTTCACATGATGACACCCAATGGCCTCTTCATAAATCCCACTCGGTTTTCGCTAAAAACGGACATGCGGTTCAGACGCAATCTGGGCGTATCGTTTTTTGGGTTTTATCTATTTTCCGCGCTGTTTAGGGGCCCGTGGTCATGAAAATTCTGGACAACACTTCTAATGGTAGACTCTAAGAGGGTGTCAAATTTGGTTGAAATGCGATCATTCCTTCTGTAAGCAGAAGTGTTTCGATTATCGATTTTTTCGGAAACTGATTCCGAACTCAAAAATCGGGCTCCGTCATGTCCTTACGGCAGCCATTTGCAAACTTGTGTTGAAAACCGCATCGAAATCGGGTGAGAAATGCGGCCTGGGCGAGGTAACAACGCCCACGACAGACACACAGACAGACAACATGAGAAAGATAGATAGATAGATAGATAGATAGATAGATAGATAGATAGATAGATAGATAGATTCTACGTGTGCCATTTTTCTCTCATTCGACTTGTGTCATTATTTCTGTTATTCGAGTTGTGCCATTTTTCTGGCATTGTACTTGTACCATTTCTTTTGCATTCGATTTGGGCCATTTTTTCGCCTTCTACTTGTGCCATTTTCTTGTGTCATTCTACTTGTGTCATTTTCTCTCTCATCCTACTTTTGCCATTTTTTCTCTCATTCATCTCGTCCCATTTTTATCTCATTCCAGTTGTGTCATTTTCTCTCTAATTCGGCTTGAGCCATTTTCTATCTCTTACTACTTTCGTCATTTTACTCTCAGCTTACTTGTGCCATTTTTCTCTCATTCGACACGTGCCATTTTTTTCTCTCATTCTACATGTGCCATTTTTCTTCCATTCTACTTTTGACGTTTTTCTCTCATTCGACGTGCCATTTTCTCTTTCATCTTACTTGTGCCATTTTTCTCTCATTCTACTTGTACTATTTTTTTATTTTTTTTTGCCAAAATTCATTTCATGGTTAAGTAACACTTGCCGAACCGTCTGTACTTTCCTCAGATTGACACCCCCAAAATCTGATTATTGAAGTTTCCGGTGCTAATGCCAAGCAGTACAGCATTGCGTTTCCATATTTCCGGTGCTCTTTTTCTCACATATGGTACCCTACTGATCCTTCTATACTGTGCTGTCGACAAAATCAAAAACAAACAACGTGCATTTTGCACATTTATAAACCTACCAATAATCCACACATTGATTACTGTTGCCATATCTGGAGCTGCTACTATATATATCGAAATTCTTGACAAAATTCAAAGAAGGGTTTCTTAATGTTATCGATCCTCGAATGGCCTCTCGACTTCAGTCACTTTCTTTGACGTGACCTGCCTCTGTTTTTTCTATAAATATTTTCATGGCAACAGTTCTGATGAGCGATGTCTTATCAATTTACAGTTCAATTGGCCAGATGTAACCGTAAATTCTATGTCAACAGTATATTTTCTCGCACATCTCGCTTGTTGAACTCCCTTCTAGCTCCATACTTCCCAGCCAACATTAATATGCAAAAGATTAAATGCAATATCAATCGCTATCAACTTGTCCTCCTGATTACTCTTTCTTTTTCCAGCTCATTATTAATATTTTTCATCCTACTTTTTCCACACTCTGTAACCCCCTGTGTCTTAGTGGCTTTACTGCCTTGCATGGAGTTATACCGATTAACAAAAATATATATGTAAGGAGTTTTGCGAAGATGCCAAATAATTATCATATCGCATCTATATTTTATGGAATTATTTCATTTTGTTGGTCAACATTAATGTTAGGAAATTCGAATATTCAGAGAAGACAAAATCCATTCCTTCTCATAAACGAAATTCTCACAACTGAAAATGAATTGAAGAAAAGAATTTTCGATGACGAATAGGTGAGATATTTGAATTTTCATGTCGGTAATATTTCTGGTGAAATTTCATAATCGATCATGTCTACATTGACACCGTTGGCAAATTGCAGACATTCAAATCAATTCAAAAATCCAATAATCACATGTTTGCGTAAGTTTTATGAAAGAGAAATTGCAGTGTCAAAATAAATACGGAAATCGTAATTTAATACTAGTAGGCATTTATAAGAAGTTAAAAACCCCGTAAAATTTATAAAAAAGGTAAAACCAAATTATTCACAAATACTGTTTTTTCTGAAGTTGAACGAAAACTTTTATTAAATAAAAAATTGCCTTGTATGAAAGTAATCATATGTATGAGGCAAGATTTCTGGCTAGATTAACTCCATAATATTGTAATATTAAATAACAGTACTTCGGTATATATATATATATATATATATATATATATATATATATATATATATATATATATATATATATATATATATATATATATTCACCTCTCCTGTCGAATTCAACGTATGAGGGTCAAGCAGATCAGTTCCAAGGAAACCGACAGCCTGACAACAGCACATGAGATTTGATTATAGTGGTGAAGGTTTCGTGCAGGACCATCCACACTTTTTGAAGGGCCAAATACAGAGATCTGGTGCACTAAGTGCCACAAGGTCCCCAAACAACCCTCCGCAGGTTTTGAATTCAGAGTTGTCCTTCTCCTAGTAGGTATGCGTGTGTGTGTGTGTGTATGCATGTGTGTGTGTGTGTGTATGCATGTGTGTTCGTGTTCTAACAAATGCTGTAAGCAAATGTAGTTGCATTTTGAAAAGTGGGATTTACCAAAACTATTTTGTAGGCCAAAAAAGCCCGGGTACACTGACTTCAGTCATTATGATAGCTAGTTGGTGTATTTAACACAGCATATAACCAGAATCTATACAAATACACAGATGCATGTTATGCTTAGCTGAGCCAATGGCAAAACTCAGTCAAATTTGGAAGGGCAAAAACTTCAACATTCCAACCAAGATGAAGCTTAAAAAGTCCCTTGTGTTGAATGTGAAAGCTGGACTCTGATGGCAGAAACCACCAAAGTAGTTCAAATATTTGAAACAACATACTTCAGATGCCTTATTATGATCTCCTGGAGGCAAAACAATACAAATGACTTTGTACAGGGCCAAGTAACACAATTGGCAAGCCCACGGTAGTCCCTCTTGGTAACAGTAAAGAATAGAAAGCTGTTGTGGTTTGGAAATGTCATATGTCACAATACTCTACCCAAGACGGTCCTTCAAGATACCTTGGAAGTGGGTAGACGTAGTGGCGAGGCTATCCAAAAGCTGGATGGAAAACATCAAAGAATTGACTAGGATAGGCACACCGAGGCTATTTCGTTAAGGAGAAAACAGGTCTGGTTGGCGACAGCTGGCTGCATCATCGTTGCTCATCTCCCCTCTACGACCAGCTCGGCCATGAGAAATGATTGGACATATTGAAGGCAAAAGAGACGGAGAAAAGCAGAGACTAACCCACTTAATGAGGTTTTGCAAATAGTTGGCATAACAAGGATTACGAGAGATAGTAATAAGACAAACACTGCTAAGGAGAAGTGTTGTGGAGAGCTATGATATCTCACGTCCTGAAGGCAAACTGCACATGTTCTGGGGAGATGTGTGGACTCTTATCCATTATATTTCTAGTATGCAGGGTCACGACGCCCAGTCAGATTCATTTTCAAACATAGGTGTCATTTTCTAGAGCATCAGCATCAGTTAAATGTAAATTCTCAAATAGCAAGGAAAATATAACAATTTGAACGGATTTTTAGAAAGTTTTGATCGTCCTCTGTAGTTAATTAATTTTCTTATTCAACAAGTCGGTTATAAAAACTGTATATTGTTCTCGAAACTTTTAGCTTAAGGATAAAAGTACATTTCACATTAGCACTGAGGTAATGTTTGATTGAGGAATTTCATTGTTGCCTTTTCTGGTAAAGAAATAAGCTCATTAGAATTAATTTTCTTTTCTCCGATTGAAAATGTTAATATCGATTGATTGACAAAGAAAAGAGATTGTTCATTAATTTCCATTGTAATGAAGGTAAAACAAAAAGGTAACACGGATTTGTAATTATAACAATGTTTCTAGCATTGAAGCGCTAAAACGAACAGGATTTTGGTTTTTATAAAAGTCGTTCAATTTCATAACACATAGAAACCCAACAAGAATAGTTTTATTTCGACATTGTCTTTTCAATTCCTAAATTACGATTTGAATTACCATCGGCTTAATGGACGGAACGCTATTCTGTGTTTTACTACTCATTTGGGTTATGTTTCCTTTTGAAAGCCAAGCTGTACAAAAAATTACATTTCAAACCGCACACACACACACACATACATATTTTTATTTGAAGTTTATAGATGTATATCAGTGGGCATTTTCCGTAGCCTATTTATATATATGGAACTCGAACAATCTACCTCGGTGGACGAAATAAATGTGTCCGGTTCTAACGTATATCACCTGAAGAAGACCGGAGTGCACAAAGGCCGAAACGTCGTGAATATGATAATAAAGATGAGGACAACAATAGTGCAAATAGTTAGAATACCTTATCTTAGAAATATAGACAGATCCTGAAGAAGGCCGGAGCGTGCAACGACCGAAACGTCGTGAATATGACAGTAAAGATGAGGACAACTGTCCGAATAATGTAAATAGTGTAAATTGTTACAATATCTCATCTCAGAAATATAGACAGATCCTGAAGAAGACCGGAGTGTACAACGACCGAAACGTAGTGAAAATATCATGTAGGGTCTCAACCATTGCAGGATTGTTAATAAATACATCTGAGAAGACAGCACGATGCAAAATGAACCGCGTCCCGGGTATGATTATAAAATACCTTTGATTGGGAGGTTTTGAGGAGTGTAGAACCACTTTTTATTTGATACCTGGGGTAATAGTACCTGTTAGGGTCCCAGCAAATAGTATGCCTTGAAACTGGCGTCAAAATATTATAAAAGTATATAAATATGTTTTTATAGTAAAAATACCAGCAATACAGTTTTATATTAAAAAGAAATACCAGGAGTATATTTTTTTGAAATATTACCAAAGCTCCCAAAAAAATGAAATAAGGAGTTGATATACCGTTAAACAATCTAACCAAACAATCGAAATGTCGGTGCTCCTTTTCAGCTGGCCTTATCCCAGAGTAACACAAGATTTTCGAATTTGAAGAGGTTGTGCCACGCAAATATTCAAGATGTTAGAGATTTAAAATGTTACGCTTCTGCAACGAGTTTATGGCTAATAAATAACGAACACATAACAAAACTCATACATAGGCAAAGCATTTAAAATCTCTAACATTCTATTTAATCATGAGTAAATAGAAGTTCGTCTTGTTATTTATTAAGCATGGATATATTTTATTTTAACGCCACAAGTGCGTGTCATTCCTTGATAGTCGAACACCCTTTTCAATAGCTATGGTGAGCTAAATTAGATAGTTAATCCTTTCTCTATACCAAGATTGCTTGGAATATTATTGCCACATTTCGTTTGGTGCTCCAACTGAATATTTAGAGATTTTTGAATAAAAGAAG